TGCTCCAAGGATGTGAATAGCCAATAGCAGCCTCAAAAATCAGGATTTAGATACTGTGCAATGGCCCCTGGGACATGCTGGATTCAAATGCTCCCAGTGGGGAGATCTCCCCTTCTCCAGCTCAGCAGTGGCTGTCTCCATCGCTCGTCTCATGCCTGCCCTCACAGGACCTGATACATGATTTTGCCTTCTCTAGTTTCAAAGACTAAAATGCAGGAGAGCTCATTCCTGGTACTCAGCTGGTTTGCAGATAACCGATGCCAAAGGCATCAAGCATACTGAGCTCACTGGTGTTTTCCAGTTGGCACAGTCTCTGATGAGGAGAGGTGAGCTCCATGAACCTCTGTAATGACATTTTAATTCCTTAAACCATGCTAATACCCACCCAGCTCCCTGGCAATGTGGGAACACAGCTTATTGACTACTCTGAGAGCGATGCTGAGGGAGAGCTGAAAAGTGGTAGTGCAGGAATCCTCTTCTAAGGAAATTAATATCCTAGAGAGATGAGAGCGCTCAGAGCTGATCCCCAGATTACTTTCCTTATCCCTCCTCCTTCCCCACCTCTTCGATTCTGCGTTTGGCTTTTCACTGTTTTCGTTTCAGATAAACCCACAAGCACACTTTCGTGTGGATGTCACCCGGATCCACTACCTCCCGATCCACAGACACTCCGTCTCTTCTCTCACTTACATTAGTATCAATTATTTACAGCAGGGATGCTAACCCATGAAAATGAAGTTGCAGCAAAGCTCTGCCTCGGCTCAGTACCCCACACTGGTTGCAGGTTCCAATGCTCCTCTGCCATTTGTAATTGGCCTTGCAGAGCAATGGCCATGAGTTTATTCCCCCTTTCACAGCTGCAGAGCAGCCCATGTTTTCATAGGGGTAAAAATCATATAGGGAGTGTATTGGGCAGGCTTGTCTATAGGGAAAGCATTTCCACAGTGACAAGGGTTTGGAGCAGCACAGCTCCTCTGTGTGCTTGCCAGAAGGTTTCCTTTGCTTCTTTTTTTCCTCTCCTTCCACAGAGGCTTCCTCTCATGGGAAAACAGCATTTGGAGGAAGGAGACCATCTGCCTGCCCACAGGGGATGGAGCTGACACCCCAAAGCAGGGTGCAGCCAGACTGCCAGGGGATGCACTGCACCAGTACTGCAGCCATTTACCTCATTCTCCTTCCCACGGGTATAATGTCTCTTCTGGGAGCCCATGATTTGAGGGAAGTAGCTCCTTCCCTCTCATAGCATCAGGTGCTATGAGGTTTAAATGGGGCTCTCGTGCTATCAATGATGAGCTCCTTAAATGACCAAGCGCATAAAGGATTTTTTTAATGAATAGTATTTAAACATGAATAACTAAAATCTCAGTTAAATGAGGATGTTGTACAGCTTAGAACAGTATAAGTACAAGTGTCTGGGCTTTGTTCATGCATTTACTCTTTGAATCCAGAAGTACTTTACCTCCATTGGAAAGTGCATCACTAAGTGAGGTGATGCTCACACCCTTGACCTTGGAACAGTGCCTACATTTAAATTTCCAGTAATCCTCAGTGTTGTTCAGATCAATCCCTGCTTGCACCAGAGATGCTGTCCTTTCCTAGTTTTGCTTCAGCTGCTTGCCCAGCACATTCCCATTCTGCTGGTTATGACTCAGGAAAGTCAAAAGAGAACCCTTGAGAAAATAGAAAGAACAGATAAACCTTTTGAAACCTATTTTGAAACAGCAGAGACTATTCAGAGAGTGAAGAACCCCCTGAGTGCAACCAGAGCCTGCAGAAGCTGAGCAAGCTGGTCTTGACCCACCATGGGGTTACCCCATGAGACCCTATAATGCCCTGAGGTTGCAAAGCTCCAAGCCTACAACACAGCTCCTTAAAGGAAGCCTCCAATCACCAGTGGCCACTTCAGCCCTGGATGAGTGATGTGGGCACCTCTGAGCATCCCTGTCAGCATGAAGCGCCTGTGGTCCATGCTGTGGTGATGGCAAGGAGATGAAGGGCAGAGCTTGCCTTGGCTGGAGGTTTGCATCACTCAAACAGATGCTTGAGACCTTCAGCAAACCTTCAGGCAAGTCCTGTCCTAGCCCCAAATGAGCCCTTAGCTGATGCTCTGCTGTCACCCACGCATGTGATTTGGGCAGACACAGTCACTCGCAGAGGAGAGATATGCAATGGAGGACAGAGTAAAGGAAGGGTGTTTTTACCCTGCCGTGAGTCACTTCATTAGCCCTGACCCTGTTTGACCCTTTTACTGTTATATCAGCCTAACTGTTTATTTTCCTCATAAAACCAAACCGAGATCGATCGCCTTTGTCTCAAAGCCCTTTATGTGTCTTGGCGCCCAGGAACAGCCCTGCCGTTAGCAGCAGGCCTAATGCAAATGGAATCTTTGGGAAGCAGGGATGGTTTGAAGCGGACACGAAGCCGACCTCCCCATCTTCCTCCTTTTTCCTCCTTAAGTTTCATCTATTGCATTTAAAAGAGAAATGATATCTATTTATTTTAAAAGTAAATGTATGATGCTATCTAGATGTGTGCATGGTGTGTCTCTGTTGTATATGTGTCTGTACAATCAATAACCGTGTCTTGCTGGGGATTTAAATATTAGTCTTCAAAATCCAGGTCTAGAGCACCAGATTTATTTGTATGAAAATATATCCTTTCTTGCTTAAGGAAGGATATTAATTATAGATGCAAACCCATAAATCTTCTGGCTTTAGGTGAGATATCTGCTGGATTATAAATATGAATAGGAGATGAGGGTCCTGCTCTTCCTATTATTACTATTATTCTTATTACTTACTGGTTATTATTTGCTATATGATCGGTATCTTCAGGTGGGTCAAACATTACTGGGGAATGGGGAGCTAAGCCTTCAAAGGGTGCACACATGTTGAATTCATTAAAAGGTTTTCTATCCCAGCCTTAACTCCCTGCTGCATTTCACAGTCTGGTCCATCATTAAACACCCCGCTCAGGCCTCTTCCCCTCCTCTCCATCCTGTTTTTGGTACCTTATTTCATTGCACTGCTTTTGCCAGATCATATCAATCTCCCTAATGTTTATTAATGATGTCCTGTGCATCTTATTGACAATGTGCTATTGTTTCCAAGGTTCTGCTTCAACACCAGGCCTGGAAAGCAGCCAAGCCAGAAGCCACTGAGGACCTCAATATCATGCAGGGCTTTGAGGGAGGTGATAATTTTCTTCTCCCCCATTTATTATGGCAGACCTGGGAACAGCAGTAATAAGCCACGAGGGCTTGATTGTCCAAGGAGCTGAGCACCCAGAATACCAAGTGGAGGATTTGTTTCAGGCAGGATGCCACAACTTTAATGTGACAGTCCCAGTGGGGCTCAGCACCTCCCAGGGCAGGGCTGTTGGGACCTCCCCATAACATCACCTCAGAGCTGAAGAATTCAGTACTCCTAGTTAATTCAATACAAACCAATACAGGATCACATCGCAGTGGGTCTCCCATCCGTTACCAAGTGCTCCAGAGTCAGGAATGCCAATTAATGAGAGTTAAATTGCAGAGATCATTGAGGACCTCAGGGCTTGCTGCATTTGCGGTTGGTTCCCTGCTGATCTCCACTGCTGCAGCCGTGCTGGTTGCTCTGTGGTCCATCAAGGACCAAACAAAGCCAGATGCCAACTGCAATGGCCCAGATGCTCGCAAGCATTGGCAGAAGCAAAAGGCATGGAGCTAAGCCGGTGTGCACCAGGATTCCTAAAGGTACCTCTTGCAGGTGCAGCAATGCTGTGGGTTGCTGCCCAAATAGGAGAATGCAGCAGGATCTCAAACTGAATTCATATAACACCCTACCCTGAAATTAAGAGGACCCTGTATGCCAGGACTGTAACCACAGGGCTTTGTGTAAGGTCTGCTTTTTTGAATTAGATTCCTGTGCTTAAATGAATTAAGTGAGCTGTCAGTATATTAAATGATTTAATGCCTTCTTCGGTTTTGCAGTGGAATCCTAATGAAAATACTCTTCAGTATAAAATGCTGAATAAATTAAATGGTGAAGTGTTTTAATAAACAGTCTGTTGTTACGGTGAACGACAATAAAGTAGTGTTTATGTCTATGGTAACGATGCTGCCCTGGCTTTAAAAGAGTTTTTGCTGGTTCAGGCTTTTTCTGACAAAACATAAGCGTTGTGCTTAAGTTATGCAGTTCAAAATCAGCCATATGGTTCCTGGGCCAAATCCTGAAATCGATGTAAATCTTGTTGGCTGGCTAACATGGAGCTGGATTAAATGGCGTTTGGAGCAGAGGGCTCTTGCAGACTGAATTGGAGCTGCCTGGTGCTCTCTGCCCTGCGCAGGAGATGCAGGAGTGCGTGTGGGTTTAGCTACAGCATTTGGCAGCATCCTGCAGTGCTGCCTCCTGCCCACTAATTAATAAACTGGATTATCAGATGTGCCTCTCGGGTGCTGGTCACAGCAGCAAAGAGGTGGCAGGCACTGGGGACAGCAATGACAGCTTGAATCATGCCAGAGCTAAATCCAGCATAGCTGAGGACCCAGAGTCCCTGGTGGTGCTCAACCAGTGGGCAGCAGGGATAAGACAAGGTCCCAGCCTCCCAGCTTCAGGAATGGACCCCTAAATTTACAGCTTAGATTCTGCGATTGAAGAACCACAGTGAAATCACAAATAAGCAGTGGAGGGGCTTAAAAGTCTTTCTTTGCTCATCTCAAGTGAAGATAACAAATCACATCTTTTTTATATTCTTTATATAAGGTAAAGATTTGCTTTTAAAGGTAAAGACCTTATCAGAACATAAAGTCTCTTATATATAAATCAACTATGAAACAACTTTAAACATCCTGCTTTTGGATATCATTTATATACTCACCTCTACCCATCACAGTATTTCTTTGGAAGGAAGATCTTTTCCTGCCACTGTTTTCAGGCTTGAAAACATAGAAATAATGTCCCAGTATCCAAATGAAAAAATAATTTAAATTGCATATATATATATATATATGTATACACACACATATACCTGTGTGGTTCCCAGTACATCCGGATGCACAATGAGATGTGTGCTTGGGTTTGTGGATCAGTCCCAGAAGAAGACAGTGGGGGGCTCCTGGAGCTGCCCAAGTGAGGGGTCTGCAGCCAGGCTCCTGCTGAAGAATTGCCATGAAAGGAGAAATTCCAGCAGCTCCCAAGCCAGAGAGCAGAGATGTGGAGGAGTTCCTCCAGAAAGCTTCACTGTGCACGATCGTGGCTCTCCCATTCCGCGATTCCCTGGGTGTAGATGAGTGTTACCAAAATACACATTTTTACTCACAGTTTCAGCACCTTTTAAGGATTACGGATGTGTCATTTCCCTGAACAGTTTTATCAAGCTGAAACAGCAGACAGGGATCAGCACGGTTTAACTGCACCACTGCAGGTTCTTCACGTACTTGTTTCGAGCTGCTTTCTTCGGCACTGCGTTTTGGGGTTATCTTATAGCAATGAGATGTCGGCAGGGATGGTTTTATTTGGGTTTATAGTACCTTTCCAGCCTTTCCACTGCCAAAGATGAGGCATTAATAACATTGAGGTGTCTGGGTGAGTCTCCACCAAGGCCAGATCAGTAACTCTGACAAAAGTGAATTGTCCCACTCAGTGCTCTAGGATGATGACATATAGTTGTTATTAGGAATAGTGTAAAATCAAAGAAGGACCACCCCATCTGTGTGGTGTGGGTGTCTCTTTGTTAATTCAGTGATTTTGGGTGGAGGCAGGATATGCCTTAAAATGTCAAAAAAAACCCAGAATTGCTTTGAAATGGCCAGTGATGATGAAACCATCTGTGGGGAAGTTGCTCTGATGTTACTTCTCCCAGTTTAAAAAATATACCCTTCCCAGCCTGGATTTTACAGTGTCAGCTTCCAGTCACCGGCTCTTTTTATAGCTCTGTCTATTAGATTGAAGAGCTCTCTCTTTCTGCATTTCTGTCTGAATACATCTGGATTGTCATTAAGCCATCCCTTAACCTTCTCTTTGTTAAGCTAAGCGCATTGGGGTCCTTGAATCTGTCACTATAAGGCATGTTTTGCAATGCTTCAGTCATTCTCGTGTGCCCTCTCCCATTCATCACCATCCTTCTTGAGTTGCGGACACCAGGAATAGCTGCAGTGCCCCACTAGATGTAACACTGGAGATACTTCACTCTGCTGCTTTAGCCATTTGTGCAATAGGATCTTTCCTCCTCCCAGTGAAATACTGGTTCCTGGATGTGTGCCCACATTAAACCTCCTGGTGTTTGCTTATATCTGGTTCACGAAAGACACAGGTCTGAAGAAGATGCAGAGCCACATACCAACAGTGCTTCTACTCCAAATCTTACCAGCAAGCTTTGACTGTAATGAGTTTTGATTTTCTACCATGTGCTTAAAATGATGAACTGAAACACAGCCACTTGGGATGATTCTCTGATATGTTTAAACATATCAGCGGGGTTTTCATCCGTTTAGCTCATGCCGTGTTGATTTCACATTGTTTTAGCTTCCTAATAAATGAGACAACATTAAGTTAAACACCTCGCAGAAGTCAAACTTGGCCGTGTTGATGAAATGTACTAAATCAATCAAATCTATAATCACATTCTTGAAAAATTATATCAATTTCATTTAATAAGATCTATTTTCCATTAGCTCATGTTGATTGTAATTAGTTATTCTCCTTAAATTGGTATTAATCAAGGCCCTTATCAGCTCTCCCATTCTTTCTTGCAAAAATCAACATCAAACAATCAGATTTATAATTACACAAGTCATCCTCCTCATCGATGTTCAGGCATTGGCACAGTGTCAGCGCTGCTTCGGGCTTCTGGAAAGCTCCTCACCCTGGAATGCTCCTGGGAGAGAGTCTAAAACTCTCAGGCACTGAATACTGAGGGCTGCTGATCACAATAAAAATCCTCTAGCTGTAGCTGCAGTTGTTTAACATCCTGAGCTGGAACCACAGATATTTCACATCATCACATTACACCGCTACCTCCTCTAGCTTTTTTCCCCAAAATAGAGAAATTAAATATTTAGCGTCTGCCTTTTATGCATTCTTTTTTTAATGTCTGCTATTCTGTCTAGACAACTACTTTTAGTCTCATGTATCTAAAGAGCGCTTCCCTGTTGCCCTCGGCTCTGCAAGCCATATGTTTCACCTAACAGCCTTCTGCCTGGGGCTGGGTTATGTTCATTATTACTCACTTTCTTTTCTTTCCTCTCTGTGAATTCCGACCTACTCTTGCTCCCCTTTGAGCTTCTCTTTTTAACCAGAACAACCTTCTCTTTCCCAACGCTGAGGTTTTCCTAGATTCCCTAGAAGCCAGCGTGCCTTTAAACAAAGAGTTGCCCAATATCATTCACATTTGCTGTTTTAAATCTTTCAGGTGACCTGGCTTACACCAATGAAAAGCAAAGGGACCTACTGTCAGCTCAGCCTTTCTCCTGTCTGTGCCCAGCACGTGTAATCGAAACGGGGTCACCTCTGTGCTGGCTGCAGCTACGTTTTGGATCTGTGATCAGCTCTCCAGCTGTCAATATGATCTTGTTGAAGAACCATCTGGTTTTGGGGAGGAAACACTCTTCTATGGCATATAGAAAAACCCAAACCCAGCAGTGTGAGCCCTCCAGCTCACATCATTTGAGTTGAGGTTCCCCAGAACATTGTAGGGAAATCTTCTTAAGTACTATAGATATGTGACTTAAGGAGCCAATAGTTCCTGTTTTCTAATGAGAGTTGATGGTCGGGAGAAGCATCTTCTTTGGCTTTTATTTGTACTTGAGGTCACTTTCTCTTATGTTTTAGTGGTGCTCGGAACACAGCAATGTCACTTCTCATATTGATTGTCCCTCCTGCACCTTCTTTGCCCACTCAATTCTTTCTAAATAGGTTACAGCTATTGATTTTAGTATTCCAGGCACATGGATTTTTCTCCCCAAGTTTAAGTCATGTTCTCCAGGTAGAATTTGTACTCATAAATTAGTCGTTCCCAGCTTTTTGCATTGCTCAGGCTCTCCGCACTGCTGTACAGGCAATTAATGTTCTCCCCATCATTTCCCTAGGTGTATTCATTAGCTCTTTTCTCAGTAGCTTAATTTTCTTCCTTGGGCCAGGGATGGGGGTGGATGCTAAAGGATTTCTGTGCTTCTCTATGGTCTCCAGTGCCTGTTCCTGCTCACCCAGTCCAAGTATCCCTCCTTCCAGAAAGGCTACCAGCCTAGACAGCTAGCAGGAGAAAAGGAAATCTTCAGTAGAAGGGAAAACCTCAGCCCAGTTGCAGCACAGATGGATTTCGGGGTCAACATAGCAGTGGATGCAGAATGAGTCAAAAACCAATCCATCATAGGTCTGCTTCAGATGGTCTCCAACCTCTTTATTACTCGTGGCAGCCACTTCCCATGTTCAGCTCAACCTGCTGTGACTAAAGGCTTCATTACAGTCTAGGTAGACAAACATCCACAGCCTTTCCCTCACCCACTAAGCAGGTCACCTTGTCATGGAAGGACATGACGTTAGTTCAAGCAGGACCTGCCTTTCTTAAACCCAGGCTGACTGGGCTTGATCCCTGGTTGTTCTGTATGTGCCACATGATGGCACTCAAGATTATCTGCTCCATAACCTGGCACCAAGGTCAGGCTGGGAGGTCTGCCATTCCCCGAATCCTCCTTCTGGCCCAGTCTAGCAGATGGGTATCACATTCACTATCACCCAGTCTTGCAGATGGACATCACATTCACTATCACCCAGTCTTGCAGATGGACATCACATTCACTATCACCCAGTCTTGCAGATGGGCATCTCATTCACTATCACCCAGACGTGCAGATGGGCATCTCATTCACTATCACCCAGTCAACTGGGACATCCCTGTTGAGACAGGATGGCCAATAAATGATGGAAAGAAGAATGCTCCCACCAGCACTGTGCTCATTTTAACAGGCTTTATTGGAAAGCAAATAAAAAAACACAAGACACCCCCCCACACACACCTGAATCTGTTCTTGCAGGTCCTAAACAGGCTGCAGCCAGGGCTTGGAACAGAGACTTGTGATGGTTTTGAAGTGTCCCATCGGGGTGGTTTTATTTGCAAGTTGTGCACATTAATGTATGGTTAGCATATCAAAGCACAGCAATTCTTCAGGCTCAGCCCTTGCTGGGCTCAGTGGCTGGGGATGTGCCTGTCCCTGCTCTTGAAAATAACCCTCCATCTTCTTGAATCCAGCAGAGAATTTAGGGGCAAGACTGTAAGCAGAGAAGTGGTGAAGTACAAGAGAAGAGAGCAGAAAGTCTGTAAAATAAACAAGCTACAAAATGCCTCCAGGTTGCTCTAAATTATGCATCCTTCCTGTGGGGAGATGTTCAAGGTTGTCTATTTCTTTGAATGGTTTTCCTCCTGGATACTCACCTTCATTTTCTGGGATGCCTCTGCAGTGGGGTTATGCTTATTTTTCCTTCCCTTTCACTGTATTTTAAACATCTTCTTTGTTACCTTTTAAAACGCAGAGCATGATGAGTGATGTCCTCCCTCAGCTGGGCTGCGGGGGAATGGGAAAGGGATAAATGCTGTCTAGAGAGGTCAGTGACTGCTGCAGGGCTAGCAGCATCCCGAACCCCTTGCGGCAGTTTCCCCCTGTTTAAGCCCAGGACAGATGGATGATGCAGTGTTTGCAGAGACCCTGCACAGACCCCATTGCTCCCAGCCCTGGTCCATTGCTTGTGCAGAGCCAGGAGCTTCACTAATACAAGCTGAATCCCTGAGCCTCCTGCCAAAAAGCATAGGGGCTGTTCTGGGAAAAAGCCTGAGCAGCTCGTTTCCTTAATGCAATCGGTGCTCTCTTCAGTTATGAATTTCATTTTTAAATTGTAGCTTCTACCTTTTCTATTTTTTTTTATCATTTTATTATTGAAACCTCTAAATTTCATTAGTTTGCACTTACAAAAATAAACCTGGCATCAAGTAGTGAGCTCTCTGAGATTGTGTCATCAATTTACCCTGCCACCGAAGCAGCCCCGTGTCACGCCTGGCACGGTGACAGCACCCAACTTCAGTCCTGCGGCTGCCTGCGTCACCTGCCCTGCCTGGAGGCCAAGAGGTACTTTCATGGACTTTCGTCATTAAGAACTTCAGTTTCAAGGTTTCAGGGGGAAGAGGAAAAAAACAGCCAAAAAAGGAAGTTGATTGTAAATTTAATTCCCGCATCTTAGTCATTTCTGGACCACGGGTCATTAACCACACATTAGTACCATCAGCCATTTTTCATAGGGGCTACAGCAGCCACATGGAGCACGGCTGCTGCATCCTGGAGCATCCTGCCTGCAGCCTGCGGGAATCTCAGTGTGGAAGGGGGCACTCAAAGCCTGTGGGCTTGGCAGTGTTTTACTAGGCAAATTCCAGAGGAGAGCCAGAACAGTGGCAGTGCTGTGTGTGTCTGGTAGCATACCAACATCCTCGGAGTGCTGAGTGTGTCTGGTAGCATACCAACATCCTCGGAGGGAGGACTTCTCTGTATTTTACATTAAAACACCTCCTTGTCTTATAAAACATCCCAGCACTGTCTCTCACCCTCTCTCCACACTCTGTTCATTTTTAACCCTTGCATCTATGTGATGGTTTAGTGTGAGGTGTCCCTGTCCATGGCAGGGGGGTTGGAACTGGATGATCTTAAGATCCTTTCCAACCCGAACTATTCTATGATTCTATGGTTTAACACTTCCAGGCTTCAGGGATGTGGTTGGCGACTTGTCCAGTCCTAGCAGCACAAGTGCTATTTGTTACCAGTGTAAAATTATCTCTTCTTTTAACTGAAAAGTTGCATTTCAGCATAAAAGGTAAATCTGTGCATATGTGAAAGACCCATCCCGAGACATTCAGCACTGCCCATGCTCAGCACCAGCCGGAGTCATCCAAACACCGGCCATGTCAGTCTGTCCACAGGCTTGACAAACAGCCCGAGGAAGCTGGCTCCTTTAATAGGCTTCAGGGGTTTATTTATAGCCCCTTTGAATAAGTGCAGCTGATACTTAAGATTGGCAGATTTAACGACAGCGAGCTGGCGAAAGGCCAGGTCTGCAAATAGTGCCACTAAAAGTCTTCTCCTCCATAAAATTTGTTTAATGTAAGAAATCATATCGCGCAGGTCTTTGCCTGCCATCTTTATAATTAGCAGGAGAAATCTCCATTTCACTCCAAAGAGCAGACAGCACTTTATGGGACTTGGCTGTCTGTTAGTAGTAGCTTCGAGATTTATCTCCACGTTTGGAGGGGTTCTTGTTCTGTGTCCCATGGGAATGGGGTCTTGCCCACCCTGGATCTCCTAGTGCTTCCCCAGAGATGCAGGGAATAGGAAAGAGCAGCAGGACCTGTGCCAGGGCCATGTGGTGGCTGATCCTGGAGGAGGATCACACGCCATATATGCCAACCCCAAGACCAAATCCTTGCCAAGGAGCCACAACCCAATGCATTGACATCCCTCACAGATTTGACCAAACCCCCATCAAATCAACCAGAAAAGCAGCCCGAGCAGGGCAGTTTGTGAGATATAGACATGCAAAACACATTGAGACGATCACATTTTGGTCTCACTTTGTCAATGTTTGATAACTTTGAGATGTTTTTCTGTAAAGAAAGAGCCACATTAGATTTTGGCAACTATTCCTGCTTTTTACAGACCTCTCAATCATACACAAAATCCTTGGCACCATCCAGCTTCCTCCATCAGCAGAAGAACTGAGAAATAGGGTTTTGCTGATCTTATTTTCTGAAGGATCCCCTTGAGATATGTCCTCTACCTGCACACCTCAAGAGCAGATCCTGCAGGTACCTTTGTCCTGAGATGTCCCATGGGATTGTGAGAGAATCTGGATTATCCTGGGTGTCTTTGTTGGAATAGCTTTCCCTGGTGTTTGAACTGTATATATCCTCTGCACCTCCTGCCAGCTCAGCTATGCAG